TGTGCTACATTGGTCCCGGCTGGTGACAGGCTCTGGGGCGGTTAAGGACTGAGAAAACCCGCGGTATGCGCGGGTGGGAGGATGTTCGCATTCGATCATGCCATGGAATGTCATCGACAGGCCGCGGGGAAAACGCCAGGCTGACCTCACCGGCAGTCCCGCCTTAGTACCCACGGGCCTAGAGAGAGCCTCTTGAACACACCCGGGCCAGGTGTGGAGCAACTCGAGCTCCCACGACTGGTTACCGGGCCCACGGTGTGTTAGTCCTTCGAACTGGATGGGGAGGTTATGAGTTAGCCTTACCGTATGGTTGGCGAGAGGACGTTTGACACTCCAGGGAGAGCTGGGAGTATCGGTTCGAACTAGCCGCCTGTTTCGGCAGGTCACGAAAGTGAAGCTTACTAAGTTTCCAGGCAGCGCTGGCCAGGTTCACCAGGACCCGTTGAACTAAGGAGCGCGATGCACCGCATCGTACAGTCCCCACGGACTAGCTCCGCACAGAGTCTGGGGGACGTGGAAACGTGAAAAAGTCCGACCCGTGACGGAACTCTTGCGTTCTGGTAAGGCTTTACTTTCTAGTAAAGAAGCTATGCGGGTAGTAACTTGTCTAGAACGAGTCAACTCAGCAGTTGGGGAGCGTGGCGGCTACCTCCTAGTTGACTTACTTTTTTCATTTACTTCAAAAGGCTTGAGGGTCGAAATTTATTTCGTACCTCATCAAGTCAACCAACCCCATCACCAATAGGTACGGACTGGGTAGCTAGCAACGTACGTCAGACCAGGCTGGGTAGTGGTCCAAATGCCCACCGCAGCAAGGTAACGGGGCAATGGCGAGGGTTTACCAGTACCTATCTGATGGAGGTGCCCCCTTGAACTAATAAAGCCTGGTACTTCGAGGCGGGCCTCGACCCGCGTTGGGGTACGACTCGAGGGGGTAGTGAAAAGCTTCTTGATGGAAGGTCGCCCTTAGGGACAACCTTAGAGCCCACTGGGCGGGAAAGGCGGGAGAAGCGCCGGCCCTTCCAGGTTGTTCATGTCACTCTTGACACATTTATTGATGTATTTTTTTGTAGTTGGCGCATATTTTGTTTGACATTTAAGGGTTGAGTGGCGCCATGCGGACGACACTTGCAACAGGGGAATGAACAGGCCGGTGTATGAGTAGAGCAGGTCGTGCTTGAAATCATAATATAACAGAATGTCTTTTCTAGGAAAATGGTTCTGTCTGCAAGTATTTTTGTATTCTACCCATCTAGCTAGTAGCAAGTGCAAAATCCATAAAATGGTGAATGCATCTAACCTTCCATTTTCTTGTCCGTGATTTGGATTCGTGAACAAGACATTTATGACATTGTCATTTTGTCATAATACCTGTTGTAGCATATCGGTTGCAAACGGTATTCCAACAAATATTGCCAACAATATTAACAAAAGCATACATTTGATTGATTTTGGATAAAAAGAGTATATGCAAAAGGGCATTATCAAGGGATTTAGCCCTTTTTGAAGGAACAACGTAGTTCCGTGTCGGTTCGGTCATTTTGAAATATTTTTTGTTGTCACAGAGGTGCAACAATTCAGCTACTATGTAATAGATCACGCTGATTGCGATGTAACAAATACTCTACGCCCAGTCTAATCCTCAGAAATCGCTTGAAAACCCAAATAAAAAATAAAAACTGAATGTAGCACATATGCTACCTACGGACTGAGGAGGTTAAAAGGGGTACAGTTGTTCTCTGAGTATCTTCCAAATACTACTCCCCGATACAGTCTAGTGATACATACGTGCTAGTGCCCCGTCGAGTTTCGACACTCTTCAAAACAGCCTCTTCAGTATTAGCAATTCTATTACTACATAACCTACCCCGATCCTGAGCTGCCAGTTTAAAAGATCCGTACTCTTGAAGATGCTGTAGAGTGTGTATATTTGGCAGACGACGATTTGGGAGGCTTTCTGAAAAAATTCTTTGGACGCGAATGCCGTTTCTCTGAGCCGCACCGTAGACTAAAACGATATCGGTGTATTTAATATTTGAAAACAAAGCCATTTCAACATATTTTGACATTTGTGTCAAACAAACTTTAAAGAGACGACGTTTAATTACACTTGACATAAAAATGATTGTCAGTGTCAAAACTATTGTTAGGATATCTTCTTTACTGTTGCAGTTTTCTTGTTACTTGAGGTGAACCATGGTGAACATAGACGGCTCGTGAATATATGGGTGGGGAAATTATAAATTCGACTTGAGTTTTCGATAAAAATGCTATACAGGGTGTTATTGAAATACATGGAAACAAAAAATCTGGTGAATGTAGGGAACCTAAGAAGTCAAATGAACGTTTGTTGTTTTAGTAAAATTTTGAAAGGAAAATTTAACCCCTATCCAAACATTCATTCCTCCACTGATAAATAATGGTTTCACGAAAAAATATGAAACCTAGTAACTGAAAACTGCCGAGATGTAACTACTGTTGCTATTAATTTATTGCTAGCAACAAATAAACAATGACAATAATTAATGAACTGACAATTAAAACTTCAAAATCATAGTTTAATCAACCATAAAATGAAACAAAACGTAACGTATGCAACTAGAGCAAGTTTTCAAAATGTCCACCACCATTTCGTATATACGCTTCCGCACGTCTAATCAATGATTGTTGCCTTGTTCATGTAGAGTTCTCCACACCACAAAAGGTGAAACTCCCACTCGGTAAGACAATCGTCTAATGCTTATACCTGGATCGTTTTCAACGACATTCCAAATTTCTTACAAACAAGTTTTTCGCAAAATATTTGTCAATAATACCTAATCGTGTTGTGTTCTGTGTGTCCAATTGAAGATGGAAAACAAAGATTCCTCTAGCGATTCTATTCCTTCGGATATAGTTGCTGAAGCAGAGAATGCAGTTCAAGACCTAATACCGACAAAATGTAAGGACCGATATGAGAAGGCTTATAAGGAATTTTGGGCATGGTGCAATGAAAAGCAAGTAAAGAAAGTTTCAGAAGTAGCTGTATTGGCGTAACAGTTGTACTATCACCGATAAAACGAAGCTGAAGTTGGATCTGAACAAAGGAAGCAGCAAATGTTAGCAAGGTGTTTGAGATGAAAACCACTGAAGAGACAGATCGAAATGAAAGCAATGAGAAAAATAACTATATAAATTGTTCTTTTACATTTAATATAAATAGTTGTAATCATTAATCAATAAATCTTTGAAACGTACTTACATTTTACTTCCTGCACTAGTGCGGAAAAGTATCACTTTCCGCACGCCGTTAGGAAAAAGTTTTTATTCGATTCAACATTTTGTCAACTTGCATCTACAAAAGCACAGAAGTATTAATAGAAATATTTTCACTGCATAAAACATTGTTTAGTTTTTACTTTATTTATCATGTTGTATCCAAATTTTTTATTTAGGTATTTTGTTTTTATTTCTCGAGCCTAAGCGAAGAAAGTATTGTAATCGAGTCTGTCGGCCGAGTCTCTACTGTTACGTTTTGTCGACCTTTCATGACCCCCATAGTACGAAGAAATATGTCTCCCGTTTCAGTCTGTCTATCTGTCCGTCTGTCCGTGTGTTTCTCCATCTCTTCGTCTGTCTATCGTCCCAGATTTTTATTAGACAACTAATCTCCGAAAGTACTGGACCGATTGTCAAATTTTGTATTTATACTTATTTGGAATATCAACATGTTATACTGTGATCATGTAGATGGTAAAACGCTAACTAAAATTTGTCTAATCATTTCCACCAAAAATGTGATAACGTCATTTCAAAATTGTTCATTGAATTCAAACAGCCAGGTAATTACGTGTTACTCTTTGACTTAAAAAAATAATAATCTGTTTTACATTGTATTGTTGGTTGCGTTTTGAATTTTTTGTATAAAGCGTTTTATGAACCAACTTTAATTTTGTTAAAATGTCCACCTTAGGCATTTTCAGTGCTGAAATGAATTCTACTGTTTCGAACTATAATAACATTAAAAACTCTTTAATTCTTTGACCAAATTAGTCAACTGCAACGTTGGGAAGGGTAGGTACTCTGTATGTATGCACTTTTTAAGAAAAAATTACGTGGTGCGGTGTTTTAAAAGTAGTTAATGCGATATCGTTATATCACTTCCAAAAATAGGTGTCGCGAAATGTATAATGAGAAGTTTGAAGAAAATCGGCTTCATATAATAAATCGTAGTCAAACCAATGTGTAGTAACGAAAATTTGTTAGTGTCTGCAGGTTTGCATTGACGTCGTGAGAATGTTAGCAACACCTGTACAGCACAGTTGGAGGCCTATTTTTGTTAAGCAATAATAATTTTGAATAGATATAGCTTCTATTATAACATAGTGCCTGGTAGGTAGTTATTATTGGCTGCTCTACACATTTCCATAGGAAAAGCCATGGCATACGATATTATAAATAAACGTTCCAACTTATGACGCATGAGCAAACCCCTAATGATAAAATTAATCAATGTAGCTCACTATGTTCAAGACCTGATATTGTTGGAATTTCGGTCACGGAAAAAGTACGGTTTTTTATTATGTCTGAAAATAGCATCAATTAAGACTGAATGTGACTATGTATTTAAAAAATATGGTAATGCATAGTGGAAATTTGTGCTCATTACTTGTTCTTCTTTGATGATAATTGTTAATTTTACACAAAGACAAAACTAGATATTGTTCGTTATTACTGATTTCATTAAAAATATAGATAACAGCCTTATTTTTGCAGACCAATGTGTCGCTGAAAAAAAGCGACTTTGTACTTTCTTGTACTATTTTAACTGTTTTCAGGCCTTAGAAAAATTAAAATTTATTTTTACTGTTATTAATAATTAGCACTCAAGAATATTTTATATACAATGATTACGTATATATATTTTATTTGATATAGATGAATTTTAATTTTGGCGCATAGAGCGTGCCAAAACAAAACGACGCAATCGCAGCGAAGTTGGCGTAAACATGGCGAACGTCGGGGAATTGGTTTAGTGATTGTGATAAAAACAATTCAATGAGAAAGCAAATAAAAAAGTTACACCTTTATTTATTGTTTGTTCTTGTATAATGTGAGTTACCAAATTAGAATTTTTTATGTATGATGTGAATGTTTTATTTTATTAATATTTTATTTTAAATTGGCATTTAAATCACACTTACAACTGTAATTTTTATTTAAATCTAAAGTTTTTAAAAAAACACTATTTAAGAGAAGTTTTGCTCCTGTGGGCTTTGTTTTCATTGCCTTTCTAACAATTTATTTTATATTATGTGCAAATGTCTAGTATGTATGTAGGTATAGGTTAACCGTTGCTGTACCTTGTATTAATGTTTTGTTATATGTTCAACACTGTACTACGATTAAAAATTATTGTTTGATAAGTTTTGTGTATAAAGGAGACTTCCATGAGAAAATATGAGTGCAATACAAATGGACGACTGTGCTATATTGGTTCGGGTGAGTGTTTAATTCCTTGTTGTTTTTTTTAATTAGTTTAATGTTAATTAAGTGTAGTGAATTACACTATATTTTAAAACTAGTATGAATTTGCTATTTATATTTATTGTTTAGTGGTAGGTTGTCTTGGCAAATTCGCTCGGTCGGCAAAGTAGAAATGTTTTCTTTTCAATTCAACAGATGGCGGGGTCGTGACTGTCTTGTATATTGATTTGTATATATGTATTTTCAGTTTTATTTTCATATTTTACAAAGTTAACCTTTGAACTTGGACAACTTTATACTCGACAAGTACTTTAAAATTAAAAACGTTTCCTTCCTCCCCTACGCTTTTTTCGGTAAATTGTGTAGTCACTGTAATTTTTAAAAATTTTTTTCGAAATTCCGATGTCTTGTATTGCGATGTACTTGGGTCGTAAGTTCTAATTTTTTGCATAAGTACATACATATTTTCGTAGAGAATTGGAAATCAAATAAAATATGAGGCGATCATTTTGAACATTCGTTCATGTTAAGATAACAAATCTAGTTCGTGTATTATGGATTAAACTATTATATGTATATTCTCTTGTAATTAAAAAAATGGGGATTACGTAAACACGTGAATAGTTAAAAGACCATTATCCATAGGCATATCATCTGTGCGTTTATTAAAAGTGTTCAAATGTACATCTTCATTTAAAAAGTGAATGTAATAAGTACACATGCTGTTTTTATTAGTGGTTAAATTTATTCAGATAAATATTTAAAAGTTGGGTTCATTTGGGATAGGATGTACCTACGTAGAGTTGAAAAAAAAAAATCAGGATGAAAAATGGCATATAATGTTATCACTTTGAAAAAATACGACAGTAGGTTTTCAACGGGTTAAAATTGAATAATATTTGAAGTCCATTGCATAGTGATCCTCAGATAATTGAGGAAGTTAAAAATGAAGAAGTAGTATCAAATTGAAGTCATGATAATTGATGACCGTCATAGAAAGTTTAGGAGAAAAAGATTAAACATAACTTTTGAGGAAAACAAACGATTTCACAAAAGATTTCTAATAAGTGGACAAAAGCCTTTTTTGTTATTATGTATTTATTTTACATATGCATTTTTTACATAATGCGTATGTAAAGTAAATACCCAATTTTTGTTTAATATTTGTATTCCTTAAATTTAAATTTTTTATTTTTCTCCAAGTAAACCTTACGTGGTAGCAAAAAATGAAGTTCATATTCCTAATTAGCAATACAATAAATGTGCAAAATATTTAATAAAACAAAAATAGGTCTTTAAGGCCTGTCTTACCGTTCGCATAAAGGATAAGTAATCCGCTTACCGGCGTGTTAGTTATAACATAACAACCAGTAAATAACACCTACTTCCGTAGAGATATACCCGTCAAATAATCAAAAAAGTAGTACACAAGAAAATACATTATGTATAGATCTCCTCAGTTCAAAGATTTAATTCGCAAACTCAAACCTACACGATATTCATAAAACAAACCTAAAATTCCAGAACAATCTATACAATAGTTTCTGAGAATACTTGTCCATTACTTGTCTGACAAAATTGCCAAGAAACAACAGCTAAGTGGAAACAGAAGACCTAATTTGTCATATTCTAGGAGCTAGGAAGCGCAACCAATGTATTTTAAAACGTGTTTTAAATGAAGATTTATTCAGGAATATTTGTAAAAGATAATTATTTAAATTTTAATATACAGGCTTAGTCACTAAGCATGCTCTCCTCGATATTATTAGTTATTAAAAATAGAAAAAAAAAAAAATTACCAAAGAAGTACAGTCCCTTGACGACCATATACTAAAATTATTTTCAACTATGCAGAGTGTTCTGTTTTTAAGGCGTGACAAAAAACTTAGTTTTCTCAAATACAATACCCTTATATTATACCCTTTATACCATGTGTTTCTTTTATTTAATACAACCCCTGGAATTTTTTATCTTTAAAGATTCTTTGAGCAAATTTGTATCATTATAAAAGATCACTTAGGCATATGACTTATGAATAAATGACACGAGTGTCAATTTTTCAATCTACTAGATTGTCATCAATAAATACAAATTTTTCGTCTATTTTATTGTATAGTTTTTTAAGTATTGATTTTAGAACATGTGTTGCTTTTGAGTTTTTACAAAAAAGTCAATCTTTCCATTTATGAAAAAATTGGTTGGAAGTTGTTTCGACAGAACTTCCCTCGCTCCTGAAGTAGAATAAAACATCCAGCATTTTCGAGTTGAGTTTTTTCTTTACACAATTTTGCGATGACGTCATCAACATTTTTGCAAGGACACGTATATCAACTTGGATTGGTGCAGTGGAAGCCTATTTAAGCAAATCTAAAAAATATGAGTGCAATGATAAATCACAAGCAAAAACCCTTCATATTTTGCACATTTTGTGTATAATTTATTCGGCAAAAATTTGAGATGACGTTTTGGGAGGAATAAACAGATATTTTTTTTATTAACAATTTACCGTGCTTACAATAACTTTAACACGTCTGCAAGATTTCAAAGTATATTATATAATTCTTGAATTATTCAATAAAATAAATTGACTAATTCATTCTTTTTTTAAGTGACCCTGTATAAGCAAATCTAAAAAATGAGGTACTTAGTTTGATCCATAAAAAATTGGTCGAAGGCTATAAGTATTATCCGACAAATCCAGCTCTTTAAAAAATATATAATATTTGGTTTTCCGATTTTTGTTTTGTGATAACCTCTGGAAAGTAAAAACCAGAGGCATAACTACCACCCCTTGTCCTTCAGCATTAGCTTATAGCAGTCTGAAGCTCAAGTGTTTATTTATTTTTATACATCAAAAGAATGTCATGTAGAAATTAGTTTGATTTGAACGAGTTTGTCTTCTCAAAACAGAGGACTAACATTAATTTAAACCACAGTTGAACAAAATGTTATGAATATTATAATTCTTATTTTATCATTATTATAGAAAGACTTGCGTATGCTTCACATGTTCGAGACAATGGGGTGACTCGTTCTTAATTTGACCAACAAAAGATTTGTGATGGCGTCGTCAACATGGATAATAATAGTCACAGCACAGAAAAAAAGTAGTCACAGCGTATTACCAATGCAAGAAAAAAAAAAGTAAAGGGCCAAGTTCAGCATCGAACCCATAAGGGCAAATCGTACGGCTCAGCCGCCGGTCGCCTTCCAACCGATATAGCCACTGCGCCACGGAGACTCTCGTTCCGTGTTGGTAATGTAACGTTATTATACCTTCCAGATGTTTTTGTAAAAATTTGAACGTTTAGCGAAAAAACTGAAAGCGCATTTGTACACTACAAATATGTATAGGAATATATTTTTGTGTAACATTCAAATCACTTTAAAATGTGGTTCATTGAAAAGATGTCATCAAATTGTTGGTGGGGATGATTATCAAAATTTTGGTTATACTTCATTTGTTACAATTTTTCCAGGATATCGTAAAACTCATTCTCTCTTTTTTCCACCACCGGTATTTTGGGTTATGCTGTGAGAAACAAGAATAACAAAACGCTATCTCATTTTAACTTAAGCGGATGTGCGAGAGAGAAAACGCACAGCTGCGCCTGTCGGAGTGCAACCCGAAATTTGACCCAGGTTCTCAAACATTTATGTTTTGTTGCAGGCAAAATGCAAAATCGAATAAATAGTTTCTACCGTACAGTTGCACAATCTTAATGCGTTTTCCCATTGGTAAGGTATTATGAAAATTAAACATAACACTAACTTAAAATTTACATTTCATCTGTTTCATTAAACATCTCCTTTTCAAGTTCAACAAAACAGTACTTCTTGTTTGAGAACTTCTGCTTTGTACGCACCTTCCGGTAGATCTTTAGGACCGCCCCTAAAATTCTAGGCAATACGGATCATCTCAACCGCAATGAGAGAAAGTGAGACAAAAATAGTAACGTTTGAGAAGTATTATCTGTTACGGTTTTACAAGACTATGGAATTCTTATAACAAATAGACTTTCGGATTTAACAATTTACAGTAAATTCATTGGACATACACCTTGTAAAACTTTTATGACTTAAGCGCCTATTGTATAACTTAACTCAGTTCACAGCTTCATTATGGCAACAATGGACAGTCATAATCCTTGCGGTTCGGGTCCATAAAGCTTACAATAGCCAGTTTGATTCATAAGGGTGGTTTAGCTTAAGCCGCTTAAGTCATAAAAGTTTTACAAGGTGTATGTCAAGTGCGTTTACTGTATATGATATTTCGAAAATACATATAAAATTTGACAACAATCGGTCTAATAAAAATGGATACAGACACTAGACAGACAGGCAGAAGACAGGCAGACAGACAGACAGACAGACAGACAGACATACAGACAGACAGACAGACAGACAGACAGACAGACAGACAGATAGATACACACACAGACAGACAGACAGAAAGATAGACAGACAGATAAACAGACAGGCAGACAAACACACAGAAACGGGAGACTACTTTTTTCGTACTGTAGGGGTCATGAAACATCGAGAAAATATAAAAGTGGCCATTCGTCCCATGGACTCGATTACTTTACTTGCCATCACACAAATCTTTTAATTGATACAAATTTG